TAATAGAAACAACACAGCTGGGGAAGTCAGGATTTCACCTCAAAACCGCCATATACCATCTGTTATTACTAGAGAAAGACTATGTCATGACAAAATAGTAACTTTAAATCCCAGTCCTACAAATGATGCTGTATTTTGAAATTCTGCAGGAGCATAGAGCAAAAGGGTACTCAAAGCATCAGTCTGACTACAAGTTCAGCATCCTGATACTGACTTGGAAGCTCCCTTCGCATGCTATTTTTAAGACATTCAAAACTGCTAAATATTTTAGTAGAGTTTATACTATGTGGTACATTGCTAGAATCTCCTGCTGTTCTGATGGATATTACAAGATGGCATACACAGTCATTTGCTGATATTAAGAATCTCTGGTTTTGCAGAAAAAAGTAAATACGTAAAAACACTTTTAGTAAGTAAGTATACACCTAAGCTAGTGTTTTCAGGGAGAACTAGATTTTTTAGTCTTTCTTTGTATTGTTGATTTGAAAATCTGAAAAAAAAAATCTGCAGGGAATTTTTTCCTTTGTTTTCTGACAGTTTTCTCTAAAGGGAATCTACTGTCCTTTTCTTAAACTGAGTGAAATCAGTGATAAACTTCCCACTGATCTTGCTGTGGGCTTTGGACCAGGACACAGGCTTCACTAACAGGGGACACCCCATTCAACCTTAAGATTCAGTGCTTTGGCAGAAGTACTTGGTGAGAAGCTGGCTGCAGGAAAGAAGTTTTATGAGAACGCTAAAAGGTTGAGTGTGTGCCTGTGTGCTAAAATCAAGCTTACAAAATCTCATAGCATAACTACAGAGACAGACTGGTACACAGAAGATCGTGTTGAAATATTTTAGACTTTACAGTAGGTCCTTTAGAATTAAATACGGGACGTAAGCAATAAAAGCCAACAGGAAAAATTCAGATTTGAGATTATTTTGAGCTTCGCCTTTGTGGGTTTCCCTAAAATCTTCTGCCTTGTATCAAAATAAGAAAGAAGAGGTGAGAAGGGCGAAATAGCATGGAATAAGTAGGATGGAGAGACTAAGGATGTGCTCCAAAGGCCACTTGAGTCAATAGCAGTGTTTCCAGAAGGACTTGGTTCATATTCTGAATTCGCCATCCAGAATCTGCACAAAAGGCAAGAGGTGATGGCAACACCAATTTGCAGAGAAGAATGTGCTCATTTTAGTACCTATTGAGTGAAAGGGACTTACAGTACTGCTCTACTGCAAGGACTATGTGACAGGTCCCTGTCCACAGCCCATCCCTGCAACACACAGGGTCTTATTTCAAGGAAAGGCTGAAACATGCATGTACACATAGACATACATATAAGAATTTTTACATAAACAGAAAAAATTACCTCAGTCTGTATTTCTTTGCCTCCAATACCTCAGTTTCAGAGCCCTATCTGTTCTGTTCATTCCCATTTGTTTGGAACCGGGTAACAGTGCTGTTTGGTGCAGCTGAGGATCAGCAACTAGATCAGGACTATGCAGTGTAAGATCCAATTACTGCCTTTAAACCTATTGAAATTCAGTCTGGGGTATTATATTTCCTTAGCAAACATTAAAAAAAGGAAAGTACAATCCTTCCACATGCATATAGACATATATGCTTAAGCATACACGTATGCTCTCGCACATACGCAGAGAAAGAGAGACAGATTAATGTAAGGTCTAATTACCTTTTAAGCTAATGCCCCTTTACATCTCTCTGGTACTGTAAAGAGCCTTTAAAAAGGGAAGATACACAATTTACATTCATTTTAAGGCCATCTCAGTACTGATGAGAAGGGTAAAGGGGCCTTAGAGTAACAGAACCAGCCCAATGGTACCCACTGCCACACTTCCTTTTCATGTTTTACAGATATTTGCATTACAAATGAGATTCCTTAATTACAGGTTGCATTCTGAATAAAACATCATTACAAATATTAAACTGTGGAGAAGCAATGGCTGTCATATTGTAACAAGACCTTACGGGTAGATTCTGATACAGCTAGACTGTGAATGACAGACTCACACTAAGCCACTGCTTCTTCCACAACAGGGCTCAGTGCATTTAGTGCTTAAGTAATTCTCTCATTATCAAAACAGCAGAGCTATTCTAACATTTTGTCCACTGGTCCACAATGCAGAGAAACACAGGCAGCTGAAGGAGCACCTTTTACCCATATACAATGCCTAGCATAATAAAGCCCATTTGTGTTTTGGGGCTGCTAGTTTCAGTTCAGAGAAGCAAGGAAAAATAATAGCTATTAAAATAAATCAAATAGCAATTCCTACTTTATACATACTTGACTTTGTAGAAATTATAGCCTTTTATGTAACATACATGCTTAGAAATCCTAATGGAAATGTATGGCTGCAATCTGTCATACTAAAGGTCCATCCAGCTCAGCACCCTGTTTTCAGCTGTGAGCTGGCTGCCTGGAGAGGACTGGAAAAGCAGGGCAAGTGTACAGCGATGCCTTAGCAGAACGTTCCCCTTGTCCTGAACTTGTGGTTCAAGGACTTTCTGCATCAAAGCTTAACTGCTCCTGATTGATTTTCTTTCCATAAAGAGTCACTTTTTGAGCATATGTACATTCTTAGCAACATTACCTCCTGCTCAAAGCTTCATTACATCGTGGGTGAAATGTCTTCGTTTTGAACCAGCTATTTGCTATTTCCACTTCATGCACCCTAGTTCTTGACTGGGAGTGACTGGGAGGAATGACAAACAGTGGTTCCCTGCTCACCTTACAAGATGTTCTGCTTTTGAAGAATATCCTGCAATACATCATGGGAATATACTGTATTTTAATAGGACACCTGTGACACTGCATGTGCTACAGCAGACAGAGTGATAGAAAGAGTGGTTTTCATGATAATCCTACTCTTAGGGTCTCATAACTTAAAAGCTGAAAATTGCTTTTTGTATTCTACAATAAAAAGGACATAGACAAGTTTAGAGGGGAGCTTACATCAAGGGTAAGTAATAAAAAACAACGTCTTCTGCTATGTGACTACTCTTAAGCTATCCAAAGTTAGATTTTTTCTATATCCGATCATTTTGATAGAAAGCTGTTAACTTTTTGGTGTCTCTTGGCAAGTTAGGACTCATATTTTTGTATGTCTAGCTCATTCTTTTCCAGTATCTCGTTTTTTCTTTTGATTTATAAATGGAAGAATGAGTTACATTTCTTTTTCAGACACAAGCCATACCATATACCATATTGCATTTTACTTGTCTTGAATAAGAAACAGGCTTGAACAGTTAGTCATTTCCAGTGCCTGTCAGCTAGATACAAGTTCAGTAAAATGAGCCATTTTAAACTTTCAGGACTGCCATTTTCAGCAGCAAGAACTTGCAAACTTGCATTAACTGTGCACTGCTCCCCAGCAACTTGTCATCTGGAATAAATCTGTTTATTAAGGATTTACAGAGCTCTGGAAAATACAGCAACAAGTCTGTGACTGCATTCATGTTCTTCGAACTGCATTCATGTTCTTCGAACCCATACAACATATTGTGAATTCAGTATAATTTTAACCTGCATTCTTAAAGTGTGATGAAGGTGTGGTTCGTTCTGTTGTTTTTTTTTTTTTTTCCTAAAAAAGGCTCATTCCCCTTTTCTCTTCCTATCCTACTGTCTGCTCTGTCTATTGTATCTTGATGTGTCTGACCTTCAGACTCTTAGTGGTTTTATCACATTCAGTTCACTTGATCATCTAAAAGCCTCTCACTCTTGCAAAGGATTTTCTTTTTCCATGTGCTTTTGCTCTCACTGTGTGATCGCTTTCCTCTCTCTCTCATCACCCCTGCTTCAGTCTCTCCCAGTTAATGTTTATCTCCAGTTTCTCATCATTCCCCACTCCTTTCAGAAAACAGCGGGATGGCTGAACATGTATCTGGGAAGCCATGCCTTGGGCTAAAATATATCTATCCAATCTCTGAATGCTATAGTTAAAAAATTGGGAATGGCATCTCCTGTGGTCATTTTATCCACACACTAAATGGAAACACTACAACCCTCAACGATGCTATTGATTGTCAGTTACTTCTTAACTGCTAATGTGTACATGATACTGGCTTTGCTTTATTGATTTTTTTACAGAGAATGTTGTATATTTTACAAATATCTTTTTTTTTTTTTTTTCCTGAAGACAACATAAAATGTTACCGGTTCCTTTTTATTTCCTTTCAGACTACATAGCCAAAATTGATAGTTGGTCTAGAAATCTCCAGAGACTACCTAATACACAAGGAGTTCTTATACATCTCTGTATATGTTTCAGTTAACAGTTTTTTACATTGGAACTACATGTACTATGGCACACACACACATAAGAACATCTATAAGTAAACATCCTTGATTTCAACCATTTTGAAAGGATTTACTTAACCTGAAAGATTCCGATTGCAAATTTTATGCAGATACACATAAATGCTCCTGTGTTTGGTTAGGGGCAGTGCAGAAAAAAACCTGCACAGTCTCATGGTCTATGTTTACCTTGAAGTATTAACTCATTCTATAGCTTACAGCGTGACAAAACCTCATAGACCTAAATCCAGCAGTCTTGGTATTTTAATTTCTTCTTCATTATTTGTGCATCACTGTATGGTGAATAAACATACAGCAACAAACAAGCTCCTCCCCTGGGAAGTTTTAGGTCTAAAGGTGAGATTTGCAAAATTGCCTAATGGAATTAAGAGCCCACATCCTCATTTTCAGTTTGTGATCTTAACCTTTATCAAAAATTTTGAAAAGGCAAGGCAGCCAAAAAAAGCAACAAAAACCAGAGGAAAGACAGGATTAATACAACAGTTTTACAGGCAAGGAACTGAGGCACAGAGAGATTAAATGATTTGCACAGCATCACTCTTGGAATCGGAGCACTGACCTCAATTCTCCTGACTCCCTCTGCACTGCACTACCAATACCACCAACTCTCCCAGTCTTCACGTGGCCTGTGTCTTGTAAGAGACACCCTTTAAACCTTCAAGCCCTAGACATTCCACTTACATTTTCACTGTTAACGTCTGCTTCACTGGGGCAGCCAAAGAGTTCCCGTCTCAGCAAATTCCCATCGTATTCCAGGAATGTCAGGTAGAGGTTGCGGAAAAACTCCACATGCTTGTTTTTCACTCGCAGCTTCTTTGGTGAGTTCCAGTGGATCACCTCAGGGAGAAAAAAGAGAGAAAACACATCCTGCTGTTAGAATACAGATTTGCTTTACCTGCTGTTTTTATGTGTGTTCAGTTTGCCGCACTCTTAAAAACAAAAAAGCCAACCCCAAAACTACACAGACTTCCTTCTCTCTTTTTATCAGAAAGGCTTTGCAATGTCTTTCACAAGGAACTCCAAACTCTACAGGTGATGTGCTTCAAAACTCCTCCATAGGATAACCTGCACATTTGAGTTAGGGTGCTGCTCTGGTTTGTGATGCAGTACCTCATAAGTGCTGCCACAACTCTAATCCCAGACCTGATAGGTTATGGATTCTGCTGAAGAAGGTGGCAGGAGGAGGGACACAGGGATACAGATATTAAAAATTAATCTCTGATTTCCACATGACTGTTTCAGCTAATGAAATTGATTCACTGTTTCAGGCCAGGCAGACTCTTCTCTGGTTAGGTATTGAGAAGAAAAAGCTTGAAATTAATTTCTGTATCCATTTACACCCTTCGAAAGGACTGAATTTCATCTGACTTTCTTTTCGCCATTGCTTCATTTAAACAAGACTGATCTTAGATGCATTACACAACACAGTGATGCAGCACAATGCTTCACCCTTTGAATTCCAATTTCTAGCAGGTATTTAGCCTCTGCTAAAGGGAGATGACTCTCACACTGGCCTAGATTTAACTGTAATGCTGACATAAAGGGCCTGATTCTCATTTACATCAAGGTAACTTTGCACTGCTGCCAGTGTGAACGAGAATGGGGCCCTAAGGAAAAACTAAGAGGGAGCCAAAAGTGGCTTGCAGGAATTATTTCATTTTATAGAGGCTGTATTTTAGGCATACACAAAAAAAAAAACAAACCACCACTAAATGCTTTGTATTCAGTTTTATTCCTGTGACTTCTAAAGAGATTAAAAAAAAAAAAAAAGGCTCCCTTGGGAATATTTCCAAGGTAGGAGTTCTGGAGGTTCTCTGAATCCATTAAGTTAATTGCGTGAAAGCACCGTGTCACTCACACACAGCCACAGAGCTGCAATGCCAGCTGCTGAGCTGGTCACACAGTCAGCTCTGCTCTGAACACTGCTTTGTGGGAGGGAAAGCACAGAGCTGAAGCATAGCACATAGAACAGAAGCAGCCCAGAACAGATGAAGGCAGTTCCCTTCTTGTCAGCAAGACAACTCCACAGGAACAGGGAGCCCTCCGAAATCACTCTATCTGTTGTTGAAAGAGTGGACTGGAGGAGGAAAGAGCAGGACGTAGCCTGAATTCTTCCTGTACTAACTCCAGCAAACAACATGGTCTCTCCACTTGGGTATTTATACTGCCATAAAAGCTATGGCACTCTCTTCTACATATCCAACACCAATGAAAATATCTCCTGATGGGGAAAGTATTATCCCTTCCTGGGATTCCACTGCTGAGGCTACTAGGGTGTCAGAAAACCATACATGCAGTTACAGAAAAGCAACTGCAGAGAAAAAAAGATCATTTCAGAAATTGGCAAATCACTTTTTCCAGTTATAGGAACACCTTAAATCAAGGTCAAGATGTATCTACACACTGTATAAGCCTGGGAAATTATTTGGACAAAAATACTTGGTGTAGATATTTTTCCCCAGTTAATGCTACATTCTTTGCTGGTTTTACATTTGTCCATATGTTTGGAAATGTAGCTTAACCATGCAATAACATGTCTCTGCATGTGTGTTAAAAATATAGAACACCACAGAAACAAAAGCAGCTTTAGGCAGGTGAAGACGTAAAGTTGACAGATTTTCTCCACTGAAAAATGTATCTTTAAAATCTCCTTTATTTGAAAACAACTTGACATATTTCATCCATTGCATTTAAATGCAGCAAAAGGCATTAAATGCATGCAAAAAAACTCAACGATTGAATTGTACCTCAGGGAAACAGGCACACTCAACAGAAGCATAAGGCTGAAGGAACCTGAAGGGCTCCTTAACAGTTTTACAGGTTACTAGGGCACATTTTTACAAGCAGTCATAGAATGGAAACTGCCTGCTGGTAACTTGCACTTATTCAAGAGTGGATCAAAGAATCTGAGAAGCTGGCAAATGGGACAAAAAATACATGCTAAGAAAAATCTTCTGTGTGTTCTCCCTCTCTGCACTACTCTTATGCTTCACGTGAGTTTCCTTTTGGATGTCTTCATGAGCATCCTATCCCCCTGCAGAGCTCTCCAACCACAGACCATGAGCACAGAAATGGCTAACGATGATATATTCAGTAACTGTTACGGGCCAGGCTCCTCGGTGCTGCAGGAATTTCCCACCAACATATACTATGCTACATCACAGCCAAGTACTGGTGTTGACGTCTCTACCCAGTAGTGTGGGGGATGATGTCAAAGCCAGACAACTGCAGTTGTCAGCATAGAGGCTCTTTACTGCTGTGTTTCAAAATCTGTTGTGTGTGTAAAAGCTGGTGAGTGTCAAGGGCCTATCTGGGTGGTTTGCATCTGATCAGATCTGAAATGTGTCAGGATGCTGCATGTGTACAGATGTCAGGGGAGCCTGGAGTGAACTGAGGAAAGCTGAACGAGCTGATGACTATCCAGAAAAGCTGATTTTTTAATCAAGAAAGAAAGCATACGCCAATGCAGCTGAAGAACATCAAGGAACTATGCAACCATCTGGATGACCTGAGGTAAGAAAACCACAGAACAGGCCTAGGAAAAAGCAGGCTGCTTTTTAAATGTAACATGATTAGATAAATATTATGTGATCTATGAAAGCACAAAAAAGAACAACAGGTTTTAAAAAGTGACAAGACTCTTAACCATTGACATACAACACTATATCCAAAGACCATATTCTTTTTCATCTGTCAGCCCACAAATTCACCTTCAGTTCTGACTGTAGCTGTCTAATTTGGTCTATTGCACCATTAGCCACTGCAGAAGTTGTACAGGACAAGACATCCTTGCATAGGCTGTCATGGGCATCAGTGAGGTACACAATGAAGTAAGTGGGCTGCACAGGTAAAGCTATGGCCATTACGGTAGAAACTTTATTGCGGGCAACAGTCAATCTATTGGAGAAAAAAAAAATCAGTTGTAAAGAGACTACACGGAAATCAGACAAAAAAAAAGGTCAAACTTAAAATCCCCTTTATTTGCAGACTGAGCAAGTGTTATCTCAACATTAAAAAGAGAAAGTGAACCTAGAAACTAAAAATCTCATTACTACAACATCCCCTTTTCAAGACTGAATAGCACCATAATACTGTGTTTATTTCTTTTTCTATTTTCTTTCCTAGTTTCTAAGCTATTCCAAAGCTCTGTTGGCTTACTGAGGAAATTACAGCTAGAACATATAAAATCCCTGTGCCATTATCTAGGCGGACACCTCAGAGACAGTGCTAGCCTTCAGGCTGTCCTATGGATCCTTCCCACTCTTGATCAAGGCCTCCTGAGAACTAAGAAAAATACGCTCCTTAATCTTCATTTAGCAAGTTAAGTACTGAAAGACCAGAACTTAAAACTCCACATCTATTTAACAGTTGGTTAGTCATCATTAAGCAACTTGGCACCATGTACGTTTCTGTTAATACCATCCTAGTTAATCAGCAAGCGTTACAACTCACTGATTATGCTCAGCCAGCCTTCTGGAATACCTCCATACACTTCTGACCTAGTGGAACAGGCTAACTGCACCAACAGTTCCCGCTTATTCACTAGGTTCTGACCCAAAGCACTTAAATGATGATACGGTTGCAGCCTCGTGGTCTGGCAATAGGATCTGAGATGGAACGTAACAGAGGGTGCTATATGCTGGTGGAGTCGTAGGGGAGGGCTCTACGGTCAGCTGTCTGCATGCAAATACACTGAAAACAAAAATCCCAGTAAACCTCCTTAGGTTAACAGCTGCATTGTCCTCTCTGGAGAGATTAAATATTGCAAATCTGATGTTCAAACCACTAAATTATGACCTTCAACACAACATTATTTCTATAGGTATCTTTATCAATTTTTCCCCTGAAGCATCTTCTCTCTCCAAAAGAATTATCTGGCCAAATGTTTTCTTAACCACAGTCTCTTCCATTTTTTACCCATAGACACATCTTGATCATTTCTCACTCTGCTTCAGCCCTTATGAAATCAGAGAATACAGGTTATCCTATATACCTGTATATACCTACTTTCCAGGCTAAAGGGGTAAAAAGTAAGAATAAATTAAGCCTAAATATAAGCCTAAAGAGGTTTAATTTCACAAAGCAGCTCTTAATTAAGTACATGAGCATTTCATGATTTGGATAAATAAGTAAAAGTAGTATTTTGTAGATGGAGAGCTTTCCTACTTAAAAATGAGACTCCTTATTTAGGCAACCAGACATTTCCCATTGAAATCAACAGGAGTTAAAATCTTCATCAATTCTGCATAGTAAAGCCACCTATATACACCACTTTAATGCCATCTAAATAGTTTTTTTTTTCAGGCACAGGTTATCAAAAAGTTTAAATATGTCCCAAGTGACACTGCAAATAAGCACCACACACATAACTTATGCCTTGACTGGAGATGTCTGGAAACTTTATTTTCAGACTGTGTTTTATCAGAAATGAATGGTTTAATAAAAGAAGCAATTTTCTCAGACAGGACCAAATACTTCACAAAAATGTCATCGGGGAGTTTTCAGAGTGGTACTTCTGAACTACATAACTGGAAGAGACTCATGTTGTAGCAGTCAGCAAGCCAGAGGTCCAGGCACTGCTTTTGAATGTGGGATTCAAATCCCTGCCCTCCCTGACTTGGTGCCCATGGTCCCAGAGATTACTTTACCCCTCTGCTTACTGCCTGTGCTGTACGGCAGTAAGCTGATAGACTGTCCCTATCTTGTATTTTAGAAAGTTCTAATTTTTCCTCAAAGGGATTTGCAGCTCTCCCTTTAAATTCTGTATCAATGTTTAACAGGCGGCCTCCTGTCTGGAAAAACACCCCTAAAACCACCTCTGCAATACCACAGTGCTCCCTTTTTGGCAGAGTGGAAGCACCTTACTGACTAATGTTTGTTCAAGGGAGAGGTACATTTAACCCTCTTGAGCCCTTACACCTGGTGTAGCTCTTCCTTGGTTGGTGTTAAAAGATGCAAGGCAGCAGAATGCCACAGCTGCTGCAGATCAGTGCTGAGGTGCTTGGACAGCATGGGGTGGCTCAGGGACTGGAACAGAAAGAGGTGCAACAGGTCACATTCAAGGCAGATTTGAAATGATATAATTGGGTTATGGACAAGAAGCTCTTTAAACTTTTTTAGGCAATCTCACTAAGTTGTGCTAGTGTGGAGGACATTCCCAGGGAGGACACATTGAATCACATAACACAATTTCAGAATGGGGAATTTATGAGGTTAATTATTTATCTGCCTGCTGATTTAGTATCAGCTGTGTTCAAAACCAGTTTGAAAAGCCATCAATAGGATTTAAAGCATTTCCCTATTTTGGGGTGGGAGGGGTAAATTCCAAGAATTTGATACACTCCCATTGAAGAGTCCAGCATCTGATTTTTGTGACTGTGAATTACCAGATCCTCTGTGTGTAAATAGCATCTGTAGCCTTGACAACCAGACTTCTCTTCATGACTGACTCATTCAATGAGGTCATGATTCATTGTCAGAGGCATCACAATTCATTACCTTCTTTCGTAGGATTTTTCTTGCCATTTGGTTTGTGACAAATCATAGTAATTGAGATTTCCTTACAGACAGGAAAAAGCTATTAACCAAAAAGAGACGCAAACACAGGGCCTAATGCAGCAAAAGTAATGCATAAATGAACCTTCGTTCCACGGAGATCCCCACACGCTCCAAAGCCCAGCAAGGCACAGGTCCTATAGCATGCGATTGTCCACTGACATTGCGGGCTGCTGGGGATTATGTGAGGAGCTAAGCAAGACAGGCAGTGGAAGCCTACATAGAATGACTATTAGCACTTCCACATCTTTTGGCCAGTCTTCAACAATAACTCCAGAGTGTTTCCCCAAGGTGTAACAAATGCCATGCAATAAATAAACACCTCTGGCCTTTAGAGACCGCAGCTGGCTCACTTGGCAAAAAGAATTAAAGGGCATCTGCTTCCTCTTAGCCCACTCTTGTTTTCTATTAAAGTTGTTAATTTCAAGACATTCTTGACTGATGCAAAGTATCAAAGTGTATCCCTAAAACAGCTGCCCTCAGGGTGGGGAAAGCAAGATTTCTGTAAGTGTAATTGTTTACATAAGTTTTGGTTCCATAGGCCACAGACAGCAGAACAAAGCTCACAGACTTCAGTCTAGTTATGTACAGTGTGGCCTCTAGCACTATAGAGTATGAAATAGGAAGTAAGTAAGCATTTAGATGATTAAAAATAATAAAGTAGTTTTATTTTGACATTTCTAGATGGATACAAAATTAGTAGTCGGCAACAGTGCAGAACTTGGTTATAAATATTTCCGTTCTTCTTACACCTTTTCTGAAAGATCCCCATACGCAAGTCCTCCCAAATTTGTACATGCTGCTCAGCTGCAGCAAGAAAGCAGAGTTCAGTGGTAGTCAAGCACCTGACCTTCTCTAACATAGGGCAGTAGAAAAAAAAATCAATAAAATTGTTAGAGATGCAACTTAATGAGGACTATTAAGAGAAAAAAGTGATCAGAATCCTCTACAGGCAATACAAAATATTCAGGTGTTCCACAGGCCTGCAAAAAGTATGCTGCTCGTCCTATGTTTGCATGAATGTGAACAAAGCAGCAAAGAAAAGTATATATGTGTGTATATATATATACACACATACATGCACCCCCAACCTGAACAGCAGCCAGCCCTGGATAAGTTTATTTGACACAATGTTGTGTGTAAGAGATGACAAATCCTCAGCTCCCATGGACTTTGAGGCCAGATGGAATTCAATCAGTGCCTCTTCAGTCTGACAAAAGGAATGCAGTCTGATTCGACTGAGGAATACTTGACTAAGACAGCTTTACCTTGAAATTTAAATCTCTCCCTGCATTTCCTTCTTTCCTACACTATTCTTCTTAATCCTCCAGTAAAAACTTCACAATCTGTCTTTCTCTCCCTCTAACCCTCTTCCCTCGTTTCTTATTCCAGTCTTACTATGAAATACAGGATATGCCAAATATGTTGTGTCACACCATTTATATTAAATGCCATGGAACTGACTAACTTTGGTGATTTTAAGAGTGTATTTTCTAACTTGGGCTAACGACATTTGTTTCTTTTTTTGAGACGACCACAAACTAAACCAGCTGGTTTCTTTTCAGAACTAGAATTTCTCCTGATTTACATAATGCAAATTCACAACTTTAATTGGTTTATGCTTTTTTTTTTTTTTAATTGTCTGAAGAATTTTAAACAGTGCTGCCTGGGGGCCAGTTCTTTAACTGCTGAATATGGAAAGAGCTTTATTAAAACCAGGGGGCTTATGTGCACTAGATAAGGCTCTGGCCTCTCTTTCAAAGCAAAGAATTTCACCCCGATTCAGTATTTAGGGGATAATTTTAGCAGTGGGAATAAGTCCACTTCAGCTGAAGAAATTGCTTATATGTCTGCACCCCTTGTTGAGTTAAATACCTGAAAAAAAGCCAGTGGAGGATACTATGCATCTTAGACTTCATTGCTGACACTGTAATGGAACAGACAGTGTGATACAATATACGGTAATAAACAACCAAGCCCAAGTTATACTTGTAAAGATAAATTTGTTAATCAACAATGAAGAAAAGGTTCAATTTATTTTTAAGATAATTCTATTAAATGCTTACTTGTAGGTGTTACATATGAGCTAGATGTCCCATACCTGATGGGGATTAGTCAATACAGTCATTGGAGCCTAAAGAGTGATTTGCTTGATTAGTTGTCAGATGTCTACTCTGAGGTTAGCTTAACCAGTCTCCAAAACCAGTCATGGGGATCACAGTTCAGCTGCTTAAATACAGATGTACAGCAACACTGAAAACACCTTAGGGTTATCCTGCCTGCTCATCAACTGCCTTGCCAAAAAGGTATTGTCTCCCATAGGTCTGTGTTGTATCTGCCAGTCCCACACAGATATCTGAGAGGATCTATGGTGACTCAAACCGTGTTTTGGCAATTGAACCAAACCCTAGATCCTCAGTTATTAGTGTCAGTATCTTCTTCTCATGAAAATATGTGTGTCTTAACCTTGTGCTGAATCCAGTTTGACTGTCTCAATGGTTTGTATGAATTAACGTCAGCCTCTAAATTACACAAAAATACTGTGACATCAGGAGGTGTATTTTTTCTAAAATTCATCTTTTAGAAAACATTTTCCCTGCTGCTACATCTCTCCTTTTGTTTCAGGCCTTGCAATTGCTGTCATACATGATTCTCAACATGAGCATAGAACTAAAGTCCCTTACTAGCATTTTGTTACAAGGCAAAAAAACAATGATGCTTTTAAGTCCCTGTGTTGATCCTGATGTACAAACATCTACCATAAAACACTTAGTGATCAGTGGACTGACCAGTGTACCAATCTAACTTTAAAAGCTGTCTTCTGTGGATCACACCTGAACAGCTGGTTGTGACTACTTCATGTATGAAATTCAAGCAATACTGGCCAGCTTTGACAGGTCAGTTAACCCATGTAGTAGATCTTCTGTCTTTTGGGAAGTGCAGGTTTTGAAATCAGTGTGTGAGGGGTGATTGATTTTCTATACTGCTCCAGTATCTGGTGTTCATATTGAACACTCCTGCTGTTGTTCTACAAATTGTTACAAGGGAAAATTTGGTTAGATTTAGGGAATATATTGCACTGTGAGGGTGGTGAAACTCTGGACCAGGGGGCCAGGCAGGTTGTGGAATCTCAGTCTTTGCAGACTTGACACTCAACTGCACGAGGCGCTGAGCAACCTGATCTAAGTTGGTCCTGCTTTGTGTGGGGTTTGAATAGTCTCCAGTGGTCCCTTGCAACCTCTTCTATGGTTCTGTGTTTTCCTTTCTTTTTTTAAACCTCATTTGCTAAAGCATTCTCAAAACATGAATTAAGTATCTGAACCTTACATGAATTTTAAAATGAACCACCAAAAACTGCTTAATATTTACTGTGTTCTGATGCCATCAGTCTGCTCTGATGGAAGCTGCTGCTGTTTAGCCAGCCAGTCTTATTCTACACCTGGCAGAAGCTCAATGAGCTTCAATTCTGAACACCCTGCATGCTACATTTGAGTCCGGCCTTTCAAAATGGCCACAGCACAACTGATGTTAATTTACCCATATCTGTTCAAATCCATCCTGGTTTTATATTCCACCTGACAATAGGGAAAAATGTGCTATTAAACTGATACTACAGTTTCATTTTATTAAATTAATAGGTTTCTACTCAGCCTTTGTTCTCCAGGGCAAACCCTGGAAAAATGAGCAGCAGTGTGTCTGGGTTAAGTGTATTCAAAGGCTAAATATGAAGTGTGCAAGGTCTTTATATTTTGGCTAATGTATTTCTAGCCAGGGCCCGCCCAACTCTCTTTGTGAATTTCACTCCATTAAATGATTTTGACTAAAGAGTTTCGGACTTGTCCAGTACCAAAAAAAAAAAAAAAAAAAAGGTTTTGGATTCTTTGGTTAGGAACAGCTAAGAACTGGGAAAGCAATAGGAATTCAGCAATAAGGTGCTCTGGAAAAGGTGATAGATACAGAATGTAAGAAGGTGAAACACTTCTCTAACACCTTGCCAAACCCCAAAGCAGATCCATCTTTGATTATTCTAGCAGTCAAAATGCACAAAGCCAAAGTCATATTTGACTTCCCTTCTTGGGCGTCCTCATAAACTGTATGTGTCAGCTTCCCTCCTACTTAAGGGACTTCACCCTTCTGTCACAGCGGAGTCCTGTATTCTCTGTTGCAAAGGATACTATCCATCCAACCTCCTGTAAAACATACCTTTAGGTCAGACACATCTCTGTAGCACTGCTCAGAACGGGTATGATCAGACAGCTGCACGTTCCAGAAACATGGGAGCTGGTAGACAAGGAAGGGATTTTGTTTGATGACTGCATTGAAGATATCCTAGCAGACAAAACCAGAGAAACAGTTTGGTACGTTTTTTCCACAGTGAGGCGATCTCATCCCCTCCCTGAGCTGACTCTACCTCCCCCCTGCCCTCACAGACAGAAATGCAAATAGTTACGTGAGCTGAACTCTGCAAACCTTGCTTTGTAATTCTGTTTCCACAGAGAGTGCTATCAATCTAAGGGGTGACATGGAGATCTGAACAAGAGGAACAGGTTCACATGACACACAGAGCTAATGGACTCCAGCAAAGTTTCCAAAACTGTATCTTGTACTGCTGGTGAGTGATGTGGCTCCTCTTCTAGTCACCAGGGAGAGTAATATGCAGTAAATTACAAACTGCCTGATGTTAGTAAGTACTGTGTCACTTATCAATAAAGGGAATGAAAGTGATCCTGGCAGTTGTGCTACTTCAAGGTGAGTTATTGCGTAGGATTTCAGATAGTACTTTATTGTTGCAACAAGTATTCTAAGTATTTCATGGAAAGGTCATGTAGGACAGATCTGCAGAACAGCCTACACCATGAGGGACAGAACATGTTCTGCCTCTATGCAGCTATCCATTTGCAGAAATAAGTTACAAGGACAGTCTTGTGGTTACAGTATTAGGGTAAGACATAAGCAATATGCATTTCTGTGTATAGGCACACTATTTCTTCTCTTGGCCTCAGTTCCCCATCTGTGCCAGGGAGATAGCAGCACTTTTGCCTTCACAGGGGAGCTGTGGCAAAGAGTACATCAAAAGACTGCTGGGACTCATCTGCCAGAAACAGTAAATAAATATCTGGAGACTCTTAAAACTAAAGTCTGCTTAGACAATAATCAGTAGGAAAGGACATAGTATATTTGGACTTGTGTCTGGAGAGTTTTATGTTAAATAAAGGAGGACAGAAAATTAAAGCCTGAAAACCCCATTTGTCTATCTTATAAATCATCTGCGCAGGGGAGGTAAAAATGTCAGTGGAGTAAGACAAGCCTTATGAGTGTATCTCCATTCCTCTGTTCCACATCTTCCTCAGAATGATTCAACAAGTGGTGACTACAGGCACAATATCTTCCCCTGCCTTTTCCCACATCTCATCCCCTTGCCCTTTCTTACCTTCCTCAACTCATGCACTATGGTTGTACCACTCATCTGCAATGTCCTACTCACCTGGTCAGCCAGTGAAGTGGACAGCATGCTCATTAATTCCCGCTCTGCCGTGAGTCTCCACATCTGCTCCCATTTCATCTTCCGTAACTTATCAAGAAGCAGCAAGATAACCCCTGAAGGAAAACACAGTGCAGAGAACAAGAGAAGCCATGATGTCACAGCCAGTCAAGGCCCATCCTCTCTATGTGCTGACTCGGCAGTTAAAACAAGGACATGAGTTGATATCTATCAGTGGAAACTACAGTCCTTACCCTGTGCTAACACAGGAGGCTGACTAAAAAAGCTTCAGGTTTCAAGATGCCACTGAGAGAAAGTTTTCCTGAGCCCCTGTGGCTGCAGAGGAGAAATGGAGAGATGGCATACAGATAAATGCTAGCTTATACAAGCTTGCAAGAAGGCCAAAGGAGCCAAAGAGGAATGAAACAGGAAAGAAGAGAAGCAAGAGAAGGACATTGTATTTCTTGATTTCATTATGACATGATTAGCATCGGGATTATTCCTTACAAAATGAACCAATAGCGGTGATTCACATGATGGAGGTTGACTCCATCCAAAGGTCACTGTCGTTTTGAAGAGAACTGGACAATATCCTACAAGAAAGAAAGAAGGAAGCTCTTTACACTCAGAAGTGACCCTCCTGACACCTTATTCTGAAAAGCTACAGGCTCCAAGATGATATTCTGTCAAGTCACTGTCTACTAGGGAAAGTGTACAGACAATTCTGATTTATCTCATATAACTCAATTTCTGCCATCTTCACACTGAACAGAGATCTGCTTCTTCCAAAATCCCACTGTTTAAATTAACTTCCATCTGGCCTGAAAGCAATATTATGCTGAGACAAAGAGAATTTTGTCACTCACTCATATGAAATATTTTACTCAATGTGTGTGTGGTGAAATCCAGCCCTTAATACTTACTACATAGGATGCAGTACATACACCGCATAAAATGAAATTGCAGACCTGCCTCCATCTAGTATGAAGTTAATCACATGACACATCTGATTGCAATCCTGAAATTTTTCTGTGTAACAAGATTATCAGTGCTGGTTACAAGCTAGCCTTCGAGTGCCTGCCATTAAGACAGCAAGTGTTCATACAGCAGGATCCTCAGATCAGAAAGTTACACTCAAAGGGGGAAAAGAGATATCTCAGCATGCATTCTTATTCCTCAGTTGTTTTTTGTCTGGACAAAATCCCCAGTGTAGAAGAAGGGAAAACAGCAGAAGCAATGAAGCTGGATTGAAGCATCAGCAAAACCTTCCCTACAGTGTCTCAGAAAATTTTACTTGAAAAATTAATTTGGAAAGACTCAGATAAGAGAACTGTCATGGGGAATGAATGTGAATTGAAGGACCATAAAGGATGAGTACCGATAAACGGCAGTCTAGCAGGTTGACAGGAAGTGCCTAGTAAGAGCAATGATAGTTTCTGTGTTGTTTCACGTCTTCATTAGTGGAAGGATGAAGTGTACAGAATAGTAATGACATCTGCAAGTGACATTACAAGAGGTCTTACAAAAAAAAATCACGGTAACTGTAGAGAAACATAACAGCTACACAGAAGAAAATGACTAACAAAAAGCAGACACTGGGTAAAGCTGCCTGAGGGAGTCTAAGATGATAAAACTGAAAGTAATGAGAATAAGAAAGGAAATGTAGTCTGAATACTTAAGAAAAATTCTCCTAAAACTGTTGTGGATAATGCAAAAATGGCAGATAAAATGCTTGATTTCATGAGTCTTTAAAAATTAGACTACACAAAGATTAGCAAATATATCTGGAACAATCATGCAGTGATTGGGATAGAGCAAAGGAGGTTCCAGATCATTCCTACCTTGAATTTCTATGACATGGCAAATTGCTTTCTAGTAAAACCTGACACTGCCGTGAATTAAAATAAAACCTCTGAATTTTTGTGGCCTACTTTTCTTCTGTTTTTCGTTTCAGTTAACCTGTTTCCCAAGGATGCTGGAACCTGTACTGGAGGGATCCCGTTTCATCTTCAGTCAACCTTCCTGCTTCCAGCTGTTGGATTGGAAAGGGACGTACTGTCACAATGTGCTACAAAGTATTTTTGCCAGTGTGTTTGTCTTCTCTCCAGCATAACCAAAGCTTACTTGAAGTGTGTGGTGTGTGTGCATTAGCTTCTAAGAGAGCCACTGTGCAATATCTGAAATTCTAGATCAATGTGAAGCAGACTCCTTTCGCTGCAGCAATAAACTGTGTGAGATTAGCTCCATTCTCACAGTGGATTTTTTCCAGCTAGCAAAAACTGTCAGCTTTGTTTCAATAGTGAAATACAACTGAGGAGATTCTTTATTAAGAAAAATAAAGACCAACTTTAAGATTCAGTTACCTCTAATGTAATAGTACTTATAATTTATAGACAATAAAACATTTTTTCTTAATTTCTTTAAGCCTCCAGTCTGAGGAGGAAAAGGGGAAATGCTTTAGTATGTGTGGTATTTTCTAATTTTTTTGTCTTCCACTCTTATGCTAGCAGCTGATTATGGCATCGCAGCTAAAGAGATTATGCTGTCCTGAGGGGCTATCATGGTAGCAGCTAAGAGTAAAAGAGGCAGATGGTGTGGAAAAACTGGAATGTAAGTAAGAAAGGATGTATTAAATTATGATGCAATCATGGTTATTGAAAATATTCACAAGCTTTTAATGTTCCATCGTCAAGACTTATTTGGATGTGATTTCTGTTCTAATTCACCTGCAGGCTTGGGTTTAACACCTTTGTACACCTTCTGTTCAGGGCTTCTCACACTGCGGAATTCTAATTTACTGCTGCCATAAAAATAACTACTGGAGAATATTTATAGCAAGTTTAAATATTTACTCATTAGTATTGGTGAGAATAAGAGATTTCTACTAAGAGGAGAATTTAATACTGTTCACCTAATTAGTGTTATTTAGTGCAAAAGCAAAGTAAAAGCATGTGTGTTGGGAACTCGTTCATGCAGAGGAAAAATTAGCTTTTATTCTGAACAAAGCATTTCAGTTTTACTTCTATGTTGTTCTGTTACCAAAATCAAACATAATGAATAAACTAACTCCAATCTGTGCAATTTGTTTGCAAGCAAAGCATCTAAAAAAAAAAAAAAATATTTGCCTCAGGAGTCCCTTCCCTCAGAGTCAAATTGACTGCAATCTCAGACTAAATTCAAGATGACATACAGCTGAACATAAGGGGGAAAAGGACTGACTCTCAGCTGCTGTGTTGGGGGAAGAAGAGACTGGAAGAAAAAAAAAACAACAAAGGAATATTTTATGAACATCTGGCCCCAGGCAGTGGGACTTTTCATCTTTTGGTGAGTGTAGTGTTTTCCTGCCCTAACCTACCTGAGAAAAACAAAGGGAAAGATTGTCAGCAAATAAACAAAAAGAGAAAAGTGTCAACCTAAATGTCTCATGAGTATTAAACAAACTACCATCAGCCAGAGAACACGCTATTTTTCTTATCCTGAGGAAATAGTTCAGGCATATACAGAGATTCAAATATCTCAAAGAGCTCTTAGAAAAATAATGCCTTATTACTAAACATGTGGAACACATTCTAGTCCAGTTTTTACTTGAACACCATCTTCTTCTCTTGCTTGATGGGATTTTGCTTGAACTACCAAAATGTGACAGATTCTGAATGGTTGAAACATTTGGTGAAATTGGTGAATAGTTTGGAGACAACAGGGCAAAAATTCAGAATTAATATATTTGGATGAAAACATTTCAGTTGGGAAATAATGAAAATTATTTTTGGCACATTTTAGAAACTAACTTATTCTAAAATAAAATTTTTCACTTCAAAAACAATACGAATTAAAAATCTTGTTGAAAATGGTGACATGACCTGAAAAGGAGAATCAATGTTTCATTCTGGGTCTTACAAAACTTTGGGGAGTCACCTGAATTTTTTGCCCTTTTCCCATTTTTTTTATTCAATCCAAATCATATTTTTTGTCTTTTCAACATTTTGACTAAGCAATGATATCAGCAGATGCTACAGGCCATCTCGGCAAAATGGTCTGGGCTTGATTTTTGTGGGTTTTTTTTTTCAATACTCAGCCCAAGAACAAAATATTTCACTTTATTTTTCTGAATAGTAAATTGAAAGTTTGCAGAAACACCACCAATTTCCTTTGTAATGCTACCAGGCATCCCTGCCTCTCACTTCAGAAACAAAGAGTATGGCATTTCCTGAAATTCAGAGAGGAATATACAGTAGAGTAGAAAGTACTAAAGAAGATTTTAATACAGAACAGGCCACTTACAGAAGTTATAATGAAACTGGACAAGCTTTCAAACTCAATCATTACAGTACAATGGTCCTTTAAAGGTGTCTGAAAAAATACTCACTGCTGTTGGGAAAAAAACCTTAGCTACTAAGAGATCATTTTCTCTAAGCATTACCTTGCCTGTTTCTTTCAGGTGGAACAGGATGCTTTTGTAAAGCAAAAGCATGTAAAAGCAATGCCACATCATGTGGCATCTCAGAGCCTATCCTTGTCAGGTTGTAAAAATTCTTCTCGAAACTAAGCTTATAACAGTGAACCATCTAGACAGATAGGAAGTAGATAAATTAAAATTTCTGAGAAAGACAGGCAAGACACAATTCAAAATGTATTATAAAGCAATAGGGAGTTTTTTAAAAATTACTGGGATTTTATAATACCTAACCAGCATACCAAAGACCATACACCAAACCACTGAGTCTTAGACCCTGTAAGAAATAATGTTAAATAGGGCTGGCATTATGGAGATTTGCTGCAATAAATAATGGACCCAGAGATTTAAGGCAGTACAAACAACAGTAATCTACTATGTTTTGTGAAATAGATTTGGCACCGAAAAAGTTGAGTTCAGTTTTAGGCTCTATGGAAGGCGCTTGTAGCTCTGCTATCCCAGGAGAAGTGCCATCATAGTGCTGACTGCTTAGTACTCTAACAAATACTTATGCATGTTTTTTCAATTCCAGTTTCATGGAATCACAGAATGGTTTGCATTGTAAGGGACCTTAAAGATCATCTAGTTCCAACCTCTCTGCCATGTACAGAGACACCTTGCACTAGACCAGGTTGCTCAAAGCTTCATCCAACCTGGCCTTGA